ATACCACGAACATCCTTCTCCACGCGCGCAGAACCGGCGCCAACCCAGGGTAAACGGAGCACCACTGGGCAAAGGTCAGGTCCAAATTGGATCGGCTTGTCTGTCGCCGGTTTTTCGTTGATAAGCTTGGCCAGAAATTCCTTTGGATAGCCGTTGTTCGTAAATATTGATGTCAGTCTGTCTAATTCGTCCTGCAATAGATGAGGGGAACATATTCTATGCGCACGATAAACTAGCGCTTTCACAAGATGTTTCTTCGATTTCGTTGGAGTATAGCTCCCCCACGGAATGTACAGGCCGGTGAAAGTTGGCTTCCTATAGATAGTGGTGTCCAAACTCTTAGTGTTAATGTTGCGTGATAAACATTAACACTAATTAACACTAATTAAACCACCGAAATTGACAAAGGATCTGTCTGCGTCGGGAAGGGTTACGCGAAGCCAAGTAAAAATACGGACTGGTGAGGACGCACGTACAACGACAACGGAAGTGACAACAACAGTCAATATTCGAAAACGTGGTAGACCGCGAAAACGAACCTCAATATCGAACACCGGACAGGTTGGAGTAAGAAGATCAATAGAAACCCGCAATGGAGGAGACGTAGCTGAAAGGACACTGGGCATCGCGCACACAACCGCTGGTGTCAGAAAACGAGGAAGGCCGCGGAAAAGCAAAGAGGCGGATAGTGGTGATGCCGCGAAGAGGCGAGATGACGGGACATTGGAGGAGACTACACCCAACGGAGCTAAGAATCGCACTTCGTCCATTAAGCAACATCTGTCAGCCCGTACCAATTGTCGTGAGTTGTACAGTGATAATGTGTTCTCAATATTGTCACGTGGTAGATGTGCGTTGCATCTGGCTGTGTTAGAAGCTTTGTATATCCGTAAGTTAGATCCTGAACTTTGCGTACAGAAAGAAAATGTGTTGTCGCTACAATTGTTTGGTGTTACTCCTCGTCGAGGTGTTAACAATGTAACTTAATTTGCTCACTATGTTCTTGTCGCTATTATTATTTCCTTCGAGTTTTGTGTCGTGCTGAACTTGATACTTTTTCCACCTTGTCACGAGTGTTGTTATCTCATATCTTTACGCTATATAAGTTTTAGTCTTTCCAACTTGAGCCATTCCCTGTATAATCCTTGATGAGAAGGGACCGAAAACGTTCGGATACTTTGACAAGTGCCTTATTTTTGACTGGATGTGTGTTTGCGTGGATACTTACGACCCAACACGTACCTTCATTATTATTATTATTATTATTATTATTATTAAAGAACTCTTCCTCTCCTCTCCTCCATGCGCCTTCACAGCCGACTCACTGCTACCCTCGGTAGCCATTACACACACCAACCAAGAAAAGGTTGCAGGTAGATACTGAAATTCCTCCTGACAGCTGTTTCGCCTTCACAAGGCTCATCAGAGAAAGTGATATTGAATAGAATGATATCAGGTGGAGATGGTCAGATTTATACTACAAAACATGGGCGCAAGATTACGGGCAAAGTGTGAGAATGAGAAGTTACAATTCTCCAGCAACACAGTGCCAGGGGTTCCAAGAAAATGGCAGGTAAGTAATCCAATCACAAGCTGCTAACCTCTCCAGCAACACAGTGCCAGGGGTTCCAAGAAAATGGCAGGTGAGAAATCCAATCAAAAACTGCTAACATTATTTTCTAACGGCTAGTTGATAGTTTAAGAATTTTGGCGAGCCATCAAACAAAGTGGAAGAAAGTAAATAAGAGTACTAAGCGTGCAGTGCAGCAAAAGTTACAAAGAGTGTACACACGCATGAATGGACTGTAGTTACATGTAGATCTACTTTTCACTTGGGCAGTTCTCCAGCCAACCGCGCAGGCATGCAGAGATGCACCACGTCGACTTTCCCCGCAGAGTCCCCTGGAAAATATTGCTGACAGATTGTGATTGGATTTCTCACCTGCCATTTTCTTGGAACCCCTGGCACTGTGTTGCTGGAGAGGTTAGCAGCTTGTGATTGGATTACTCACTTTTTAATTATAACGATAACGAGATACAGAATACCGGTACAAAGAAATCCAATGAGTTCAACATACAATTCAAAACAAGAAAGAAAGGAAAGAAAAACAGAGCCGAATCTACCGATTGATCCATCAATCGACAAAGGGGACTAATCCGTTAATGTTGCAAAGTAGAAGCTGATTGTAGTTGCAGATCTCCAGGCCAGGGCCAGCATATTGCCGTTTCTGGATAGGTCTCTGCAGCATTTGATGTGGTAATTATCATAATTCAAAATTTTGTGTAGGCAGGTTGCCTGCAAACAATTCAATTATCATAATTGTTGATAAAATTGTTAGAGTATCTAGAGTATCTAGTGTGTTAGAGTATCTAGTGTAATTGTATCCGTTATTATTGTTAAGGGTATCTAGTGTAATTGTATAACTTCAGCCATTACACACAGCACACATTAGTTCCTTCCACTTTCGACGATCCTGGGCGAGCTGCCTCAGTGCAACTAGATCCTCGTGTGATGTGAGGGAGTTTGTGGATCTGGAATTTTTCAGGTCGTTGTTGATGGATCGCGGGAGGGTTGTTCTCTGGCGGCCTCGGAACCCTGAGCTTCCTGGATGAAAGTATGCTGACATAGCCTGCTGGACCGGGGATGAGGTGTCTAGTCGAAGCATGTGGCCAAGCATTCTCCACCTAGCAGACTGGATGATTCAGCTGAGTGGCTTGGAGCCAGTGCGCTTGTACAGTGCTTCATTGCGTATTATACGGGGATATTTGACCCCTATGACTGCTCGTAACTGCTGGCGGTGGACCGAGTCAAGTTTCTTTTCATGAGTCTCTGTCAGGCTCCATGTGCCGCAGTTATAAAGAAGTATTGGGACACATAATTGGGGTGATATATTTCTGAACTTCTTTTCCTTTTAGTTGTAGTCTTTTAGCTTATTTCCATCATTCCCTGTAGTATTTTGACAAGAAGGGAACGAAAACGTTCAATACTTTAAACATGTCCTAATTGGCTGATGGTGACTCTTGCGTAGATGCATGCGTAGATAACACATTTTTGTAATATTTTCTGCCTCCGTCCTAGTTTCAAATAAAAATAATAGTACATGTATTACAACAGCCGACGAGGAGGCAACAGTCGTAAAATAGCAATGAAAAATAATAATTGTGTACTAGTAACCATAATAACCATGTATAAAACAATTAAAATGAAACAATGCCAGAACGTTTTCTCGTGACTATCATCAGTGAAACATCGTCACATAGTAAGAATCACTAAAACAAGCAGTTATATAGCTAGAATAATATGAAAAAGAGCATGAGAATGCAGCAGTTCGCAGTTATCCATAACGCGTGTAGTGTGAACTTATTCAGTGGATCAGAGAATGGTAGCAGTAGATTATACCGGCAGCTGTGAGTCCGTGTGGACAAAACTGGTGAGTGCGTTACTGGCGAATGCTCTTTTTCATATCAATCAAGCTATATAACTGGATGTTTTAGTGATTCTTACTATAATAATATTCTAGTAAGAATCACTAAAATAATTATTACGATGTTCCACTGATGATAGTCACGAGAAAACGTTCTGAAATTGATTCATTTTAATTGTTATATACATGGTTATGAGTGCACAATTTGTTTTTTTTCATTCCTAGAACTACTAGAAGTAGAAGTGACACGACAAAAAATTATAGATGTGAAGAATCAAGAAAACAGCATGCAAATCCAATAAGTGACAAAAACGTAGTGACAAGAAAAAGAGAGAAATATCAAGAGATCAAGGGATCTATTTCGCACCTTCACGACGAACAGTGCCAAACAATTGCAAAGACAACACATCCTCCTTCTGAACACAAAGCTCAGGGTCTAACTTACGTATGTACAAAGCTTCCAACACGGCAAGATTATTATTATTATTATTATTTGAAGTTCTCCCAATGCTTTCATAAATTTATGACTCTCTTTCACTTCTAGAAGGGTCCGGAAACTGACCGTGGTTGGTCTCCTGGGGGAGGGAGAAAGACCCAAGAGCCATCAGTATGTGTGACACGTGTTGTGAGCTGCCTTTGGAGTGAAACACTTCTCAGCGCCTTCTAGGTTCTGTCCGGTCCCATAGCTCGGTGGTTAGAGCATTGCTCATGACAAGCAAGGTCCCGGGTTCGAGTCCTGGTGGTTCTGGCGATTTTTTTCTCTTTTCAGGCAGTTCACTTCCCCTACTGTTCCTTTGAAATTGAAGGTCTCCCAAACCTTTCATAAATTAGTATCATTAAGAAAGGGTTTGCTCCCCACACCGGAGCTCGCGCTATTCCGCCGACTTTACTTGACACTGGACTGACTCACGACTGCCATCCAGAGCACACGAGAAGACCATCGAACCTTCGACTCGGCAAACCTGCAAGAAAGCACCACTCCCTGCTCAATACACAGTGTTTCGGGGAATTCACCCCTCATCAGTTGAGCTTGAGTAGGCTGAGGAAGAAAACTAATGCATGTTGCGAGTTTTTTTAGCAAGTTCATGGAGAGGAATATTGTTTTGTTCTTCATGCCCTCCCAGTGGCTGGCGTGTGTCAAGAAACTCAGCTTACAGTTAGCAGGAGCGTACACCAACCTGAGAGCAGCCAAAGTATTGTACTAGACTCTAGAGGCGCAGAAGTTTCCATCTGCATGAACATGTGCTTCAAAGATTTTTCAAATGGTTGTAAGAGTAAAATGATTTCACACTCTTTGGCTGACCCTTGCACCATAACTTAGTGGTTTGAGCACCGCGTAGGGAAAACCCCTGGTCTGATTTTTGGCGGTGACATTCAATTTCGAATACAAAGATCGTTTCAAGTGTTAGTCTTTCGAACTTATGACTAGACTCGGGTGGTGAGCCTAGCATTAATTTATAAGAAGAAAAGAAGCCCAAGACGCTACAAATGTCCTTTAGCTTTTTGGATCTCTTCTCTTCTTACTCCTTAGCATGAACTTGTGACTATTCGTGTTTCCTTTTATGACTATTGCAGATTGCAGAGTTGCTACTTTAATACTTTTCGTGCCGTTTGTTTGTCTGGGAACGTACACCTGAAAGTACATTATGTGACATACTCAATCTGCGGACAGAACTGTTTCGTCCTTTGTGGACTCGTCAGCGCAGCACAGAGGAAATGAGGCCGAACCTGATAGCAATGGAAATAAAAATTTCAAATCAGGCCCGACCGTACCTTGCCAGAATGCTCAAACTGACAAGTCAGTGAGCTCTGCATAACGCAAACAGCAAAGGCACTACCCCACGCAAGAGTGCTCAACTGCTACAAGAGCAGGAGCGAAATACTCATTCTGCGGACAGAATGGTTTTGTCCTTTGTGGACTCGTCAGCGCAGAACAGAGGAAATGCGGCCGAACCTGATAGCAATGGAAATACAAATTTCCAATCAGGCCCGAACGTACATTGCCAGAGTGCTCAAACTGACAAGTCAGTGAGCATGTAACATTATATTAATATAGGTACTTTGGGGGAGTTAAAAGGATAACATTCTTTCTTTGTTCATCTGTTTCTGCATTTCGGTGATTTCCAATACAGGGATGGTAGTCCTAATCATGCCTGCATCTCCTGGGAAAGTATTAGCAGTGTTGCTTTTGCTGGCAACGCCTGTGTTTAGCGATGGTGAGCGGCTCTCTCGGTCGGCTGACTCAGCGGTGTTACCAGCCACATCATCTCAACTTCACCACGACCAAGGTGTGCTCCCCTCATACAATACGTTCGAAGTGTTTGTTTCGAAGAAAAGCGGAATTTCAGTTACTAAACCAACGGAGACATGTGGTGCTGACCTTTTGCGACCATGCCTGACCGTATATGATGCCTGGATACAGGTTCTCCGGAGAGTTGGCGCGTACTCCACACCTAGACATTCCCGTTCGTCTGAGAACTTTGTTGACATTCAGATATATCTGGTTCCAACAAAGGAGACTCGATGCACATTGGATCTAGGAAGGTCAAGATTGAATCTCCAGAGCTATCGTGTTAAAAGTCTCAAGATATCGACCCTCGACACTCTTGGCTGCAACATGACAACACTTCGACATAGCTTAATTTCTGTAGATATGACTAACGCGCATAAACTGCACTTCTCATATGTATTATTTAGCGGTCCTCGTGGCTGGCCATCGAATTCTGAATTCCTCATATCCCTGGTGATTGGACATGCTTACGAAATCAAGTTTATATCGTGTCAGTTTCTGCTGTATTCTGGACACGGGGGGTTGTCCGTCCGCGACGAATATAGGTCTCAACTTATACAAAGTTTCCAGACCAGGTGGATCTATGTGCAAAACTGTTCTTTCAAGGCTCACACAACTGAATCCGGACCACCGCCCTTCCTCACAGATTCGGCAGTGCGTGTCGTAATGAGGGAGTACACTGAATTGATTGCTCTCTTTGAAAACTGCCGAATGAGCAACATAAGAATGAGTACCATCAATTCGAATAACATGAATCGTGACCGCACATCATTTACCGATGCTGTATTTTCTATATACGCAAACCGAGATCTGACCACCAACATCACGATTGCCAACTGCGCATTCACAAATTGCTCCTCCGACAATATGATCAAGGTGGTGACAAATCCTATGGGGAATAGCGATGTGACTTATGTGACGGTGATCAAATCAATCATTGCACACAGTCTCATCTTCCATAGTCCTATATCCATTTCAACAGTTTCGAGAGTTCGAGTTGCCGTTACGGACTGCAGTTTTGTGGCAAACACCATTGGTCCGAATGCATGTTCTGCTGGAATTCACGTTGAGAAAAATAATAATCCAATTTCATTCCGAAAAATTCCTTGGACACCAGCAGAAATCCTTTTTGGTCGAGTTTCATTCGGAGAAGCGATTATCCTGGGAAGGTGCCCAAGTTTGAACACTTCATCGTCTGTGATTACTTTGCTTGATGGAGTAGCTGCTGATGAAGAGAACGTCACTCAAATGAATGTTGTTCAGTCGCGGGATTGCCAATTCCAATGCTCGATGGATTCACAGACGCTGAAGTGTATACCAATGATTTTAGCTGTGGGTGCACCTGTCAAAGTTGACCTGCACAGTCGGAATCATATCAGGTAAGTATAGCCCATCATCTTACTTCTGTAGTCAATACATGTACGGTGATTGAAACCTTACTAGTATTGTTTAGATATGTTCGATTAGACGATAGGCTCTGGCGTTTACATTATCTTTTCTATTTGTATTGGTACAAGTAGATATTGCTTGCGATCAGCGGAGACCAGACGACGCTTGGAGACACCAGCAAATATGACCTTGTGCAGTTGGCAACAGACGCCATGGAGAGGTTGTGGTTTGAAATGAGCTGCATGGTTCTTATTGTTACTGTTGTTATTGATACACAATTTGCTGGTTCACCATACTGTCAATAGTGAGAATGAGAGTAAGTGTGGTAAAGGCACCAACGCGTATAGCCGATCGGTTTGTAGGTTTGCCTGCCAATCAGGAGTTTCTGAGTTCAAAACTTTCGCTGGTAACAGGGAGTGTGTTTAGTGCACTCTCAATGGTGTCGCAACAGTTCGGTGAGAACCAATTCGCACCACGACGTGTCATTCGCGCGACACCTCAAGGTGGATAGTTCGCAGCCTGGACAATTCACAGAGAATTCGCTTCTCAGCGCGATTTTTGACAGCGATTTGTTTCACACCGGTACCTTTTCGCAGCGGTTCCTTTTCACCACGTCCACATTCGACGCGTATACAATGTGCATTAACTTATGGTATCCCGATAGTTCTGGAAGTAAGTTAGCGCCTCCACCTGATATAGGATGACATTCTAGAACGAACTAATTAAGATGACATTCTGGAATGAACTGACTGGAGTCCAACTTCAACCATGCAGGAAGACCTTGACTGCATATCGACGTCCAAGAGAGGAAAGGCAAAGATCGTCTTCAAACGCTATGCCTACGTGCGAGACGAGGACGGCCCAGACAAAGTTGTCTACTGGCGCTGTGAGAGAAAGGATAAACTACACTGCAAGGGTCGTGTCAAGACGAATGATATGAAAGTTGTCGCCACCGTAGGCCATAACAGCCACGCTTCTGAGCCTGGTAGGAAAAAAAGTATTGGAGGTTCGCGACGGAATACTCAAAAGAAGCCGGGAGACGACTCTTCACACCCGATTGTGTCTGGTTCTCTGTCCATAGTTTCCATGACGGCAGCCTGTCAACTTCTCTCTCAGAAGTCTTTGAAGCGGGCACTTCAAGGAGAAAGAGTTCGTACTACCTGCTAATCCAGGTACGTTAGCAGAGCTGCTCCTCCCGAAGCTTTCCAGACGACGAAAGCTGGAGAGGAGTTTGTGCTCCATGACTCTGGGCCACAGGCGGGTGATCTTCGTTTTCTGGTGTTCAGCACTGCGGACAACGTGCGAACCCTACTGCAGAATAACATTTGGCATGCTGACGGGACATTAAAGACCGTTCCCCATCTGTTCCAGCAAGTCTATACAATTGGAGCACTGGAGGACAACACATTCCTGCCACTGGTGTACGCCCTTCTTCCGAACAAGACCCAGGCTGTTTATGAACGTCTACTGCAGGTAATCATCAACGAAAATCCTGAACTCCAGCCAGACGTTATCTACATCGACTTCGAGAAGGCCATGATGAACGCCATTCGAGTGAAGTTCCCGGATGCAGATGTCCGCGGCTGCTATTTCCATCTGTGTAAGAATATCTTTCGGCACATCCAAGCCAATAGGCTCGAGGAGGCCTATATAGCAGATCCGGAGTTCTCCTTAGAAGTTCGCCAGATAGCAGTATTGGCGTTCGCACCTATTGGCGACTTGCTTTATCTCTTCGAGCATGTGGAGGAAAATTCATCACCTAAAGCAGACCCTATAATTATTACAATACTTCGAGCAGTACTATTTTGGAACAAGGAAGCATGACGAGAGCAGACGCACCCCAATGTTTCCTTGACGAATGTGGAATGTTCATGATGCAACGGTCAACGGTGAGAGCAGAACCAACAACTCACAGGAGGGTTGGCACAGGAAGTTTGCTTCTGCTGATACATACCATCACCTTACGGTATGGAAATTGATTGAGGCCTTGAAGGAGGAGCAAACCGCAACCAGCATTTCCCGAGAACGAACCGTGGGCGTCGGCACAGTTCATTGCACGTAAAGTGGTACTCGCCCGCATCACCACCATGGGTACTCATTTGCTCAGTGTGAGGGTAACATGCATGCAGTTTATGGGGTTCTAGGGCCTTTACACGCCCGCTTGTTGAGAGACATATCCCCTCTCCCCTGACTCACTTGTGAGGTCTGCACTTCACACTAAGGATATATGGGCGAAGTGGTGGCCTGCCGATGCGAATGCCTTTGCTTGATGTTTTCCTCAATACGTCAGGTGATATTATTATTATCATTATTCCACAATCCGGATGACATAGTGCCAATAAGCATGTGATGCGGGCGATTTTAACCAGCCATGGTGGGGACAACTGGGAAAAAAGAAGGAGAAGAAAAAGAGAAAACAAAACAAAAACAAAAGGAGTACTAAAGGAACCTGGAGAGAGCAGTATGAAGATTAGGCTAGCAATGGAAAACAACGAATTGAAATCAATCATAATGCGGCCGCGAATCCGGCTAACTTTTTTTAAACAACCACGGCCAACTAAAAACTACATTTACGAATGAGAGGGAAAAGAGAAAAGAGGAAGACGATTAATTACATACACGTTCAACTTTCAATTGGTTTTTCTTTACAAAGGCGACAACATTTTCTGGCCTATAAGTATGTGGCGTTAGACGTCCAAATTGATTGTTGGATGTTACTCAGCTTCTACTTTACAGCAATCTTTGTCACCACGTCAATGTACTTTGTGATGTGTATTTTTTAAGCGCAATCTATTCTGTGTTCCTCTCTTTCTCCTTGTGCTTTACTTAGCACCTGTGATAGTTGTGTCGCTAGGGTTCATAATAACTCCGTTCTACACATTTCCATTCATGTGCATTTGTCACACATAATTTTTAG